AACACAATTAATTTTTGCTGAGCTACAAGATTCCATTTTTAATTGTCTTAATTCATTTTAAAACTTTTCAAATCATTTGTGTCCTTTTGTATTGAAACTGCATGTGTTAAATGAGATTTTAAGCTGATTGGCATTATGCAAATTTTGTTAAGGATCCTTTAAAATATTTTCAGCAACATCTTTTCAAATTATATGGCTGGACTGATTGGAGATCTTAATAACCCAGCATGAGAGCTTAACTCCCTTTATTGATAAGGTTTGTGAAATTTATGAGAGTATTAAATTTGCTTAAATAATTTTGTCATAATTATTTCTTTGTTTGCAAATATATTACTTTACATTTTCATGAGGACAAAGTCATTATAATACAGAAAATCTTAACTTATGTGAAATTTTATAATTTTACCTCATCTAACTGAATGGCAAAAAATGTGCACAAGACTGATTGTCACGTGCTTGCAGACATGCCAACCATTCCATATTTTATTAAAATTATGACATATTTAGCAAATTTTGCATTCCAAATGATATTGAGAATTTTGGGAGAGAATTTTCAACAGAAGTTTTCAGTATGGAAGCAAATGAGAAAGGAACCAGTATGATAGACTGGGGCATAAAAAGTTTCTTAAATTTGATAAAACAATGTTGGTCACAAGAAGGCAGTCAGTAAACGTTGAAAAATGGCCAGAGATGAAGCAGAATAAAGGAAAATGCAAATAATTCATGTTGAAAACTGATATTTCTGATTACCGATTAATCTATGAAAGTTTAGGAAATAAAAAGTTCTGGACTTTGTATAGATATATAGTTTATCTTTAATTGACTTTAGTTGCTACTCTGTATATGAATGTATAGGCTTATAGAAAGATATGAATTTGTCAATTTTCAGATGTTGTACTTTAGATTTTTGAAAGCTTACATTTGGATTCTTAATAAAGATGCTTATGGGTAGGTAACTGTGCATTGCACATATGCATTTGGTGCCTACATGACAAATATATCCACATTGATTCTTTCAAGCCTTTGTTTTCTTTATTAATTGAATCATTTTTCTTTTTTACAATATATTACATTGGAACATTTCTTTTATGGGTATCAAAAATAATATCAGTAGAATTCCACAAAAAATGGTTAAAAAAAACTAAAATGTTTCCTATTGTAGAAACTTTCACAAAACAGGTGAAGATGTTGTCACTTATCCAACTGTCATATTAGATGTCATCACAAGGATTTAATGATGGAGGCATGCATAAAGGGCTGCAAGGTTTTGTATAATGTCACTTTTAAGCCAAATATGGCTGTTGTTACTAAAAAATGAAAAGAACTATCATAAGTTCTGTACATTCACACAAATCAGTAAAGACTGATTTGTGAATTGTTGGTGGTATAGGTGTTTTTGCACAGTATTTCATTCATACATTTCAAATGCATTCCACTAAAATCTTCATCAGCATAACACAATCACTGAAGAATAATATAAGTAAAATTTGATATTTTCTTTTTTTTGAAATTTGGCATTATATAGATTGATCTTTTTTTTTTTTTAGCACTTCTTTGGTGACATGCAGTTCTTCTCATACCTCACGATTCTTATGTGTGTACAATCCATTTTAATTTAAACATATGGGCATTGTTAATAAGTAATTTTCTACACACCTCTACACTTTTATGTCAGTTTATGAAACTACTGTTTTTTCTTTACATTTTTTTTCAAACATTTTTTTGAGGATTTGTTTTCAATGTATTATTTATATATTCATGCCATGTGAAATATCTCTTCCAAAAAAATTGTTTCACATAAAGTGTAAGAGAAAATTTCATAATTTTTTTAAAAGAAAGTTTTCTAAAGTTCAGTTGTTTTTAAATTTAAATTTTTATTAGATTTTTCTACAAAATTAATCTTGCAATTTTCAGCTATTTCCTAAATAATAAAAGCATTACCAAAAATATAGATATGGTGATACTGAGTTGATATGCCCTTTCCAGACAGTTGGAATCCTAATTTTTTTAAGCTTGTGATATTGTATTGATTTGATATGCCCTCCCAGTGAATTTAAATCCATTTCCAATTCATTGCAATGTATTTTAAGTAGCATGTTTACCATCAACAGTTTTGGCATTAGTTTATTTCAGTTATTACTTATCAGCTATTAATATCAATAATATACAGAGAGGGTCAGTAAAGGTATCTTCAAAACACTGCATTCCACTCATGGATGAAATAAATTTTGTGATATTACTGCAATGGTACCTTCAAAAAGTGGCAATATCACAATTATGCTCTAATGACATCATTACTAAACAGTGCAGGTTACAGTGACTTATCCCACTTCATGTATACTACACTGATTATATATTGTAATGAAATCAATTTCTTTGATAATTTTGCTTGAACAGTCCCATCCATAAAACTTGGGGGTTATTTTTTAACTAATCGTGTCTTAAAAGTAGATTATAGCAAGCTACTTTTTTGGCTAAACACAAGTTTAAAAGGTGTCAAAAATATAGATATGAAAAGTAAAAGATAGCTGATATTTTTAAAAAGAGATTTAGATGTATAAATGAAAGTAGCTTTCTTACTGATACTTACAAAAAAGATAAAATCTTTAGAGTTGCTTATATCTATAATTTCATGTACACATCTCATGTCTACTTTTACATGTAATTGTTGGTACAACAAGCCATTTTATTACATTATGTTTCATTTACATCTAGAATTTTAATTTATCTTTGTGGCATTAGGGCTGTTCCATTTAAACATAAATGGGACCAAGGGAAGGTACTTTTTTTTTTAAATTTAGGACATGGTTCTTTGATTATAATAAAATGATAAGAAAATTCTAAATTGCATCAATGGGCAAGTACTCCAGTTTAAAAGTGCCTTCCATGGGTTCTATGTATATTTTAATGGAACAGCCCTTAAAATATGTATGCATATATTGTTGTTTGCAAGCATGTGAGTATATTAGGGAAAAATCTTCGATAAATTCATAAAAGAGAGTGCTTTGCATCCATTTATGTTTTCTCCAGGACACATGCAGTTGCACAAATCCCCCAATAATTAGTAAATTTTGTAGTTAAAAAATGAGCAAGAAAAAAAGACCACATTTTATTTGCCACAAACAGTGAAATAGTAATCTATAACATTAAGAATACTCAATCTTGTTATGTAGGTGCTCAGCCAGGTCAACCATCCAAAATCAAGCACTTTCATATTGACTTTATGAAATTGCAAACCAGGACTCTTTTCATGATCTAATTATTAAAAACATATTGCAAACTGCACTTGGCAAGTTTCTACAATGGCAGAAAATCAGTTTTTGATATTCAGTTGTAATGTCATTGCTATTACAGGAGGTCTAATGCATACAGTGGAGTGCCATCATCATAACCCATGATAATTACTGAGGACTGTTTCAGTAAAACATAATTGGGATCCAGGAGTGTACTCGCCCATAGATGTAATTTAGAATTTTCTAATCATTTTAATATGAACTTTGTAAAATCAAAGTATCCTGGCATATAATTTTTTTAAAAATTCCTTCCCTACCATAAATATTTAAATTTAACTGCCCTGATCTTTTAAAATCAAGAAGATAAATAACAGTTTAATGTAGTTTATCTATCACACACATTTGTCCAACATACTATAAAAGAGACTTGTATATACCACCACTGCCATAAAATTGGAAGGAAAAAAAAAAAACATGAAAATATGAGCAGGGTGGAGATCTTCACAGCAGTGGAAATCCCTGCATATTTCCCAGAATACTGTTCTGGTTTGCATGTGGTCTTGTGCAGTTGCAATATATGAAATTGTGTCAAGCTTCCTTCTAAAAAAAAGATGGTTGTCAGTTATCTACATGTTTGTTACAGTTTTGTGTTTGCTTTATAATTGATGTCTATTCCAATGCTAGTTGTCTCCAAGCCTACAACGTAAAATGAGGAATCACTAAATTCATCATTAACAACGTATTCAAAAGTCTTCTGCCATCTGTCATCACAGAGTTAAGAGTTGTACCTTCAGCTTGAGTAGTTGGTATGGAATTGGCGACTATAAATGTAAAAGGGTTACGATCAAGTAAAAAGCACCCAATAGTTTTCTATCAAATTCCGCAGAGGTAAACTTTTTATTACAAGCTATAAACTTTGAAACATTTCATGAACTATATTAAATGATAATGCAATGACAGATTGACAGATTTAAGGATGTTTACGAAAAATCATCTATGCATGTATAAACAATAAAATCGATGATGTAATAATTTTAAACATATCTATATAATTGTTCAGTAATCTGATAATTACATAAATATGGATTGGAGAATTTGACTGAAAGCCTTAGAGTTAAGTAATAGTGTGCATTTGAATCAGTATTTAAAATTTTCACAGTATTTACAGATTTTGATAATACATACAATTAATGACAAGTTCTCTCTTGCACATTATTTTTTTCTCTTTTAAACATTTATGATTACCGTTACTCAGATTCTTTACAGATCGGTTTGTAAATAATTAAGCAAAAAAAAACTTATCAACATCTACAATAGAAAGTTAAGGAATTAACTCATGATTTAACAAAAGGAAAGGTAACAAAGGTTTGATTTGTAAGACTGCAATTTAATAGAATTATGTCCATGTGTATATCCTAATATTCAAATGCAAGATATGTATTTATGTGGGTGTGTATATGTATGCATATAATGTTATACACAAAATGATGCAATAAAGCTCATTTATGATAATCCATGTTTCATTCCACTCTTGTTTTCTGAGATTTTTTTTACCATGGAGAGATTTCATCGTCTCCAAGTCTGATTGCATGATCTTTGAAACATTTGCAATGCTGGCAAGAGTCCATTTTTCGGGTATTTCTGCCATATTTTGGACCTGGATACGGGTGTACAGTTTTCTGGCTCAAATTTTTTTTTAATTTAAAAAAATTACAAATTTCTTTGCAGTTTTCGATTTAGAATGGGAACTGGGCTCCATTCTGACAGGACCACTCAGGTGGCCTAGTGGTTAGAGTGTCTGCCTCAGATGCAGGGGGTCATATGTTCGATCCCCACCAGAGTCATACCAAAGACTTATCAAAATTGTTACTAACACCTGCCTTGCTTGGTGCTCAGCATTAACAGGTTAGTATTAAGATTGGTTGGCCTAGTGTCAGGATCATATGACTGGGGGGAACATCATCTTGTCAAGGAGAAAACTTATGTTTTGCATATTGTGTAATGTGATTTTGCAGTTGGGTATGGAGGTGCCCATGACATACAGGAGCACGAGAAAGCTAATAAACACCAGCTTGCAGCTTCATCATTCAGCAACTCAGACCAAGTTTATGACGTATATAAACACCACAGAGAACTTTGATCTAATTTGATCTATATTTGGTTTATTAAATTTTTTTTAGAAATGAATCTTCCTCTATCAGTTTCCAGTGTTTCTGGTGACTTTTTTGTGCACATTTTCCAGAAAGTAAAATTGCAAAGGATTATTCATGTACTACAATGAAAACAGTTAAGAAAATCACACAGAATTCAGATCATTGATGAAAGATGGTACATTGTAATCGATAATGACTGAGAAAAATAACATGGGTGGAAAAGGCTTGTAATCGATAATGACTGAGAAAAATAACATGGGTGGAAAAGGCTCATAAATCGTTTGTGTCTGTGTGTGTTGCACTATTACATCTTCTAAATTAACACTCTAATGGAACAGCATGCCCATTCAGAAGGTGCTAAAGAGCAACTCGTGCATCTTTGAATTAAATAATTAATGAAGGTACTGTCCTACTTTACCAATAGTTGTTGCAAATAGATATATATTTCAAAAATCGGTATTTGTTCCTAAAAATCAGTAATCAGTATTTTTGTCACAAGCAGTCAATTATTTTTGTACTTGGGGGTTGGGTTGGCAGCTATGTATTTGTAACAAAATGTAGATCCATTGGCCTTTCAGTTGGTTTTGTGTCATGGGAGACAGCTTAAATCTGCTCAGATTTAATTATCAGTCCATACAACAATTTTCTCTCAGATATTGTTACACTGATGGCAATACCTTAAGCAGTAGCAATGTATTCAAAAGGATATTATGACATTAATTTTTCAAATAAAGTTTCAGAATTTAATATAAAGTTTGTAGTGACATGTAAGGAAAATTTAGAATAATATAATTATTTAGATTAGTCTGTTTAGTATTGTAATAGGTCTGTGAACAGCAATATCTATGGAGTTATGTTCTTTCATCCAGTCTTGTGTAAATTAGTATCACTCCAACTCTTACAGCCATCAGTATTATAAATGTATCAAGTATCCACAAGTGGAAGGACTTGAAATGTCTTGTTAACTGTATGTGTGTATAAACATCTATAATCCTGCCATATTCCATGCGTCAAATCATGTCATGAACTTCCTTTCCTCCAGAATATTTTGAAGGACTGATGAAAAGAAAATTGCACATAGTGAAGACCTTGGTTAAGTCTTACAGAGTTACATCCTCTATTTGCCTTGCATACAGAACTAAGATTTATTCAATTCCACTATAGGTAATGGTCATCCACATAATATGGTCGCATTTAAAAATTTTTAACTTATAATTTTAACAAAATTTATATATCAAATTTATCACCGGAGCATCACTTAACATTTTTTGGCACTGTGTGAATTTTGCTTTTAGGTAATTCACATTCAAATTATAACAAGAAGCCCAAGTGAGCCATATAGTGCTCATCTGGTATTTGACATGGGTAAGTTCATGAAAGTAAATTCACATGTGTATTAAAATAGGATTGGAAAGCAAGGATTGAAGCATTGAGAGCTGCCACATTATCTATCAGGCCTAAAAAATAACACTGCATGCTTCCAGTTTCATTCTTTTAAAAAAAATGGGTTTTCATCCCCCATTTACCAAAAGTAAACCTCAGTTGCATGAGGTAATTTTATTCCTTACAGAATAGACCCTGTCAGAAATACTAGAGAACACAGTGTTATCCTATAGCTAGATATTTACTCTATAATCAGTTAAGTAATTTGCACTGGATAAAATCCACTGTAAATGTGAACTGACTTTAATCAGCAAATAGCATGATAAGATAGCTAGTTTTGGGTTATGCATTACAGTCTATGTGCATGTGTGATTTGGATTTTTAACGTAGCTTTAACAATTTTTTAGTCCTATTGCTATGATGTCTGCAGTGTGGTGGTTTGTAGTGATGTCTAGCACTAGGGCATCATGATGCAGATATGTTGCATAATGTTACACCCAGTGACATTCTCAGGACATTCTGAGTGCCTAGAGAGGCTTTTTTAGTACCATTTTTATAAGTTTGGTATAACTCTGGTGGAGTTTTAACCTACAACCTCCCACATCTGAGGCGGACTCTCTAACCAATAGGCCACCAGGGCGGTTTATGGTTTATGTACAAATTATTAAAATATAGGAAGCAACAGTAATTGTCTTAATATGTGTGATACCTAATGAGTTACCTATGAAAATTAAAATTAAATATAATCTGGTCATGACGTTCAGAAAATATGTTACCTCATTTCAATAATATTCTGTAAGGATGGGAAATTTCTAAGGCGATTGTCTAGAAAATTGGAGGTTCAGATTATTTGGTTTAATTAAATTTGCAGGTGATAATTAAATTTGAAGGTGATTCTTGAGAAAAACTTATCTGGGATTTCTTTTTGTTTTGTTTTTTAAAATTAAAACTACAAAATAAAAATTTGAAATAAGCCAATTCAATTAAAATTTATCCTCTATCTAAAACCGTGAGATTAAGTGATAACTTATCGTGATGATAACGTAAGTTCTTGTCAACAGATCTCAGTGTAACTTGGTATACCTGTGTTCCCTTTAACCCCAAGTAACAAAGACTTTGGGGGGTACATAGTTCCAAGAACAAAATCACTTGCTCAGATTTTCCTATTAATTTCCATCTGGATGAAACTTAAGTTCTAGTGATTTTCAGATTTTTAGAAAATGTTCATTCTATATCTATAGCCAGACCATTGATCTATTACCTTTTTTCCGTCACTGTTTTTGGATCCGAAATGAGAGAAAAATATATCCATCACATGCACTTGTGTGGGACAGAAGTTCAGATCAAAATTTGTATTCAGGAACAAAATGCTTTCATTCCTTCAAATTCTGACACAGGTGGGATTTTCCAATCGTAAACAAGTATGTGTAACACATTCTATTTTACGCACAATGGAGAGCAAATTTTAACTCCATTTACAAACAGAACATAAACTACAAATTTGATCCATAGTAACTCATTAAACCAGTTAAAATAGACACAAGTTCTCCTTAAATTTAAAAATAAAAAGCACAAATATGTCTCATTATGAGTTTATTTACATGTGAATGTTTAGTGACAGAACAGGTCTTGCAAAACAGCTGATATTGTTTTTTAGAACTACAAACATGGTTGCAGTTGACAAAATTATTTTGTAATTCGCAAATCTCCTAATTGGCCTTTTCTTCTCCTTGATTGTCTACTGTCTCACTTCTGGACTTTGCCTGGAATACTGTTGGGATTGGAGCTTGGTTCTACAAACAGAATAATAAATTACCAAAAGATAATGATGATGACAACGACAATAATGATGATGATAATAAGCATGAGTCCCTCAAAGAACTGACACTCTACTGTGCCAAAAGAATTTCAGGAAATTTAAGAGAACATTTTCTGCCTCATAACAGATGAGTGTTGAAACTATCTTTTTAACAATAACATTTTCAAATTACCTGCTGTGGATATCAGATTGGATCATTTTCATTAAGGGTCAACATAAATATTCTGGTGTAAACCCCATGTTTAAATGTCTCTATGCTTTGGGCTGTTGAGACAAGAATATTGGAGGTCAAATTGGCACCATCTTCATTTATGACTAACTAGACATCATTATTTTAGTCATTCATTCAATAGTAGGGACAAGATTTTCAAGATGGCCAATGTTGTGACTGTACTGAATGTAAACTCAGTACCAACTTCATCTGGACCAGTCAGACATAAGAAGTCTTTCAGAGAAACCCTCATTCTTTCCTTTCCTGACTGGTAACGATAGAATTTTCATGTGGCAGTCATTTTTTATATAAGAACTGCATCTTATTCTTTTGGACCAACTGGACATCACAAATTTTTTGGCCATTTCAGTATGACATTTCATTCAGGAGGAGTAGTAATAACTAGAGTTTCAAGATGGCTGCCACATTGGACATCTGATGACCACCATTTCTCATTTAGGATCAACTAGTTATAAAATTTTCTGAGAAAACCTCACTGTCAATGTAACCATCCATTCAGAAGAAAATAAAATGTTAGAAAGGCATAATTTTCATTTAGGACCAACTAGACTATGGAGTAAATGCATGTATAAAGTTTTGCAGCAATTATTCATGTTGTTTAGGATGAGCTGCAATAATATACTTGTGCAAATAGATGGACAATACTACTGGACATTCCAGATATTAACAAAGTATCTGAAACAAAGTTGATCAAAAAGCATCAAAGTTAAATCTAAATCAAAAGAACTCTACTTCATTACTTGTTATAAAATTTTTACAGGTATTCACTGGAATTTCAGTCAGCATAATAAAACCTCAATTATTTAAATCCAATTTATCCCAATTATTTATTTAAACTTATTTCTTGATTCAATTCTGAAACATATGCCAATCTCTGCCCAACACCCCATTTAAGCATTTGATGTGGAAATAATCAAACTTACTAATTTTGTTGCCCTCTTCATTAGAAACTCGTATGTCCAATAATGCAGCTGAAATAAGAATCAAATCATCAAATTTGACATACTTGGCAATAGTTTACATTAGAGGTATGCTGTATTACCATTTTGCCATGGTAATTTCTTCCCAGTGTTACTTACCTTGGCACATTTTCACTTGTACACGGTCTATAATTAATTAACAGACAAAAGCAAAAATCAAAAAGCTTTGTAAAATTCAGTAATTTATTTCCCAAGAATACAAAATGAAAATATATTTTAAAAAATTACAGCATTGAAACTTAAATACCAAACAGTCCTGTCCAAAAGAAAGAGTATT